GCCAAAACACCCCCAGGACACCTGCCCTCGCTTCTCAAGGACAGCCCTTGACCGACACACGTTACTTGGAGCACCAAAGGCTTCTCTAAATCCCTGGACCTACCTTCTCCCTGGCCATATACTCACCAACACACTCAAAGAAAAATTCTGAAGAAAAATAGTTTCCTGGATGTATTTCCCTACATGTATGTGTATATATATACACACACATCGGTTTTTTTAAGTTTATTTGTTTTGAGAGAAACAAAGCTCAAGCATGGGGGAGGGGCAGAGAGAGAGAATAGAGAGAGAGAGAGTCCCAAGCAGGCTCCACGCCATCAGCACAGAGCCCGATGCAGGGCTCCATCTCATGAACCCTGAGATCATGACCTGAGCTGAAATCAAGGGTCAGATGCTTCACCGCCTGAGCCACCCAGGGGTCTCTCTGTTTGTTTAAAAAAAAAGACACAAACAAAAACAGGGGCGCCTGGTGGCTCAGTCGGTGAAGCGTCCGACTTCGGCTCAGGTCATGATCTCAGGGTTCATGGGTTCAAGCCCCGAGTGGGGTTCTGTGCGGACAGTTCAGAGCCTGGAGCCTGTTTCGGATTCTGTGTCTTCCTCTCTCTCTGCCCCTCCCCCACTCATGCTCTGTCTGTCTCTCTCTCTCAATAATATAATAAATAAGCGTTAAAAAAAATTAAACAAAACCAAAAACAATTTCTGTTTCCCAGGGAGTTGAAGTGAATCTCTCTTTTTTTCCTGCCAGAAAAGTAAAACAAGATTACATATTGATGGAACACGTATTGATGGACAGTGGGGAAGAGAATCCGTACCTCACTTACCACCTGGTTCCCTCGTCCCTTTTTCCTCCCAGAAGGTTCAGAGGAACCAGAGACAAAAACGCCAAATTGGAAACTTAAAAGGAAGATGATTACAAATGAAAACCCTAGCGAAAATCACTCGTCAAGCCATCTTTCTTGGTAAAAGCAGACGTGGCGAAGTGTGAACGTGGCCGATCTGGATGAGAGTGGAGGGCGTTTTCACTGTGTTCTCTAACCTCTTCTCAGCGTTTGAAGTTTTGCAAAACAGCACGTCAGGGAGATCGTCCTTTCTCCTGTAAGCTCTCCCTTGTGTCAAAGCCTGTCTCACACAAACTCTGAACATTCTCGAAATTATCATGCATTTAGTCCGTGATAAATTGGCTCTAGAACTCCCGACGGTCCCATCTACATTCTGATTAACTTAACAGCAGATTTGGGGTCACTTTCGCTGACTGGGAAGTGGTTTTTAGCAAATGGGGTTAAGGATACCAGACATTGTTGGTGTATTGCTTTTTTTCAAATAAAGGCTGGAATTCTTTTTTTTTAATTTTTTTTTTTAATTTTTTTTTTTAACGTTTTTTATTTTTATTTTTGGGACAGAGAGAGACAGAGCATGAACAGGGGAGGGGCAGAGAGAGAGGGAGACACAGAATCGGAAACAGGCTCCAGGCTCCGAGCCGTCAGCCCAGAGCCCGACGCGGGGCTCGAACTCACGGACCGCGAGATCGTGACCTGGCTGAAGTCGGACGCTTAACCGACTGCGCCACCCAGGCGCCCCAAGGCTGGAATTCTATAAAAATATCGTAGTATTAAAGTTTATGAATACTTGTAATTTTTCTATTTTTTTTTTCATGTATATCTTTATAGATAAAGAAATGGACTTGGTGGAGTCTATGAAAAAAAAAACTAATGCCTCTGGTTTGGAGAGCAAGGTCCTTAATGTTAAATATATACCGACTCATTCAGCGACTACTGTTGTCTGCTGGAGATTTCTAGATTCGGGCCTGTCCTGGACCTTGCTGTGCAACCTTTTTAGCAAAATCGCTTCTCTCTCAACAGATACCAGTTTCTAACTAAAAGGAGAGCTTAGACTAGAAGAATCTGAATAATCTGTGATGCTCTGCGAAACATTAATGCCTTGGGTGCCTTGGGTGTCCAAGCCTCTGAATTGGGATCAGTCGAGGTGATGTAGAGAAGGGGCTGGTGAGTATGACATTGGCATTCGGTTATCTATCAATGAGATGGAGGCTGGAGCCTGAAACCCAGCCACCCCAAAAATGTCTAACACTGATCCTGAGAGAGACAGACGGAGACTCCACAAAGAACAAGTCCGAGCTATCGGTGAGGCAGAGGACTGCCTTCCCCGCGAAAGGGACCACAGTTGAACGTAGCGACATTGTATGTGATTACACAGCAGCTCCTCACGCACGCGTGGTTGGAGTCCCACCACCAGCATCCTGGCAACCCTGGACCAGCTGAGCGTGGCCGGACGAGGCTCCCCCACGGTCGAGATTTTAGGATAGAAATGACATTACGGATTCTGTTAACTGTGGCCTACCTTCGACGACCTGAGTCCAGAGACACAGCCTGTCACTTTGACTTGCCACGAGGTGAAAAAAGTTGGCTCTCGAGAGGGAACAGCCTGGATTCCAATACGCTGCCACTGGCCAGCACTGTAACCTTGGGTCCGTGACTTGACCTTTCTGGAGTTCCCTCTCTCTCCTCTCTCACACAGGGGTAAAAGTAACAAGCACCTCCAAGGACTCTTAGGAGGATCAAATGAGATAAGTGAAGCAAGTGAAGTGAGTGTTCAAGCTTGGACCCGGACTGCATCACCCTGAATACATGTAGCCGTTAATAGGCTTTTAGGCTTTACAACCTAATAAATCTTTGAAGCTTTATAACCGCATGTTCTCTGTGCCAACTACTCAGCCCCGCAGCGGCATTACAAGAGCAGCCGAGACACGAACACAAATGGATTTGCTTGTGTCCCTGAGTAAGACCTCACTTATGGACGCGGAGATCTGAAGTTCGTGTGATTTTCAGACGTCACGAAACAGCCTTTCGACTTTCTTGCACCCGTTGAAAGCTGTACGCATCATTCTTAGCTTTCAACCTATGCAAAAACAGGTGGAGAGGTACCTTTGGCCCACAGTTGTATCCACGGCCAGACCTTACTCTACGAGAATCAAGACGTGGAAAGATGTATAGACACGTTCGCCAAGCTGTAAAATATATCGGGGAGCCACAATTAGAAATTTAGTGTAAAACAGTTTGCCATAGGGGCGCCTGGGTGGCTTAGTCGGTTAAGTGTCTGACCCTTGATTTCAGCTCAAGTCCCAATATCAGGGTTCGTGGGTTCAAGCCCTGCATCGGGCCCTGTGCCGACAGCTCAGAGCCTGGAGCCTGCTTGGGATTCTGTGTCTCCCTCTCTCTCTGCCCCTCCCCTCCTCACTCTGTCTCTCTCTCTCTCTCTCTCTCTCAAAATAAGTAAATAAACATTATAAGTAAACAATAAGTAAATAGATAAAACAATTTGCTATAAAAACAGAATTTTGTCCATCTTGAACCATATAGAAATGAGTTTAATTTTCTTAATATGTAAAAAAACCCGCACAAGAGATAATTCCACAGTAATATTAAATAGCAAGATTAAAAATCTTCAATGACTTGTATGAAGTATGGAGGAAATTTTTGAGTGAAGGAATATTTTGTTTTTTCTAAGAGATGAATAATAAGCAAAATTGTCACAGCCTGTCACTAGGTGAATGTTTGAAGCATTCGGAATATTGAAGAATTTAACATACACACACGTTCACACGTTTATTTCTGAAAGGTGAATCATTTCAAAATTTTCAAATGTAACAGATTTTCTTAGAATTTGTAGTACAAGAAAAAAGTAAATTATATTTACATATATATACATACAGAAATATCGATAAAAATAGTACAGCTGATAACTCCAATGTTTCAAATATTTTACCAAAGCACTGTTGTATACAGGAGTTAAACACTACCATATAGCCCACAATTACTTTTCCTTCAGCTACAAGTCGCTTAAAGATAAAACGTATTTAAATAAAACCCAATGTCGAGCTATAGTTAACGAACTCTTTGCATGTTTTATCTCCAAAGTTGTTTTAAGCAGTCATTTTCATCCAGTTTTTATTTTAAAAGATATCACATGAGAGCTACATTCTCTTCATTGATGGATGTTTAGTAATACCAGAAAAAACTGCCTTCTCTGAAAACAATCTTCTCATTCACATGAAATCTGATGAAGACATAGATAAAATAGTTGAAACCTGACGTAGACATTAGAGTTTCCAGCAAAAGTACATTGAACCACAGAGAATATTAAAACCATCTCTAATGTGTTTAGGATCTCAAGGTCATCATTTTAAAAGCCCTGAATACTATAGGGAACGCTGAAAAAAAAAACATTTTGTTTTGATTAAGAAGCACGATAAAACCATTTGAAATATCTTTATAATATGCGTCTACATTTGACTGTGGTGGGAGCATGTCAGGTGTGGGCTTGTTTGTACGAGCAGCACATTTACCATGTGTTAAGATATTTGCTTACTTCTGGGTGTGCCTACCCCCTCCTTTTCCTTTAAAAGGGCTAATAATGCTCTAAACTTCCTGTATCCTTTAGAATGACATGAATCTGTCACAGGTGCTGGACAATGAAAGGGCTATACTCTAAAAAAAACAAAAAACAAAAAACAAAACAACCAGATATCCCATATCTACTCAAAACATCATGTTGTTTCACTAAAACGTGAATCTGTACCTTCTACATAATTGTTGGGTGGTTTTTATAAAAATGAAATCATTTCCTTAGGAAAAAAAAATAAAACCATTTGCCAATCGGAATATCTTCATTCTGGGGGTGGGGGAGAGGAAAGACTTTTTTTTTTTTTTTTTAAATAATGAACTTCAGTCCCTGGCTATATGAACATTCACTGACTTATTCAAATGAAAACAAAGTATTGTGCTTCTAGAAGCTAGTTTTTTTCGCTAGCACAGTCTGAGATAGCATCTGGGAACTGTCACCAAAATGTTAAGATTTACAAGCACGTTGACCTGTGAATCAGTGCCACCACGGCCAAATGTGACTGTCCAGAGGGACTGATACGTGATGGTGTGATGCAGGCCAGTCACGTGATTTCTCGTCCTCTTTTGCCAACCGTATGTTCACAAATGTTTGAATTTATACTTAAACTCGATATCATTTAGTGGCGGCAAAACGCCCAAGCCTGCGCGGGACTGGTCCAGAGGGGGACATTTAACATGACTGTCCACAAGCTCTAGTTCAAAATAGGAAAGCATCAGAATCAAAAACTGTTTGATTTCCTGCACAGCAAATAGTCTTCCCGGACATATGGTCGCTCCTGACCCAAAGGGCATGTAGTAATACTTCAACTTGATTCCGTTGCTGTAGAAGGTGGTCTTCGTCTTCCCATTTTCATCAAGATATCGATCGTATTTAAAAGTCTGCAATAAAAATACAAAGAAAATAAATCTATCAGCTAGTTTTAAAGGAATCTGTCTCTTGCTTGACCTGGAGGCTCCAAGGAGTCATTCTCGTTTTTAATCCAATCTGTGGGTAATTTAGCAAATTCCCCACCTTGACTCAGAAAGTAATTGGGAATAGGAGCTTAACAAGAACCGACAGGAACAGAAAAAGCTTTATAACACCTTCCATCCTGCCTGGGTGACTAGTTCCTCTATTAGGCAGGACAAGAAGGACAAGTTCAGATTAGAAACTAGAAGAGCCAATATATATATTAGCTTCTAATTTCCTGGATTCGGGAGCAGTACTTAAGGAAAAAGGAAGCCAGCAACTCTCTTATCATGACTGCAAACAAAATCAGGCAAAGATGATGTGATGACAAATACCAGGAATTTTAAAATTCAGGACAGCCTCCAGGTTTTCCAACATATATGAATACTGGACATAATTCAGGAGGCAATGCCCATCTATGGTTTCAATGGTTAAATCAATTCTGCAATGATAAATTTCCTCTTTATTTCCATCTGGGTAGGCCTCCCCTGGGTATCGAACTGGGATTAACAGTCACTTACCAAAGGGTCTGGGTAGATTTCTGGATCTAAATGCATCAACTGCGGATAAAGAGCTATGATGTCATCTTTGCGGATGTTATAGGAACCGTCCTGGAGGTGCAAAGTGAAATCCTCTTTAGCCGTCCGGATGTTCAGGGAGGCACTGGAAAGCCTCAGAGACTCCTTGATGATACTATCTAAATATTGTTAAAGGAAGCAAGAAGGAGAAGGAGGTAAAGAAGGATGAATGGAAGAACAAGTCATGTATTCAAAAGCCTCATAATATGGAGTCTGAAATACTGATAGCAACCTATTACACAAAGTTGAACAAACTCGGGACAGCCGGCCAGATAAAACCTTCCCAAACTTTATTCTGTTGCCCCTGTGCTATAACCAGTGATTCACTTGTGTCTGAATGTGCCTTTTAATCTGATAATCTGAGTTTGAAATAATCATTTGATCAAGATATAATCTTCTTGGACACCAATGGGAACTAGACTTCCATAATTTTATAGCTAAAATCATCTTATTTCTATCTGTCACTAGACATCCAATACAACAGAAAAATCAGTGAATCACTTTCATGTGAATCAGTCAAAGTTAATTACTTTTGAGATTGAATATACTGCTAACCTTTTTATATGGAAACATTTTCCCGGATGTTTAACGCAGCTACCGTTGAGTGTTTCCAAGAACCCATTTTCATCACTACACTCTGATGTTGTATGATGTAAAGGGGCAGAAAGAACCACCCTGAAAGTAGCTAAAATATGAAGATCTCATGCGAAGGTCTAGCCTGATCCTCTAGCCTCTGTCCTTTTAACTCTCGTGTTTTAGGTGCTCATCACATGATTGTATATAAAATCATAGTGTGTTAGCAGCTTTATTTTACAAATGAGAAAAGCAAGGCCCCCCAAAATGAAGCGACATGTCTGGGGGTCATCCATGGTGGGCACAACCCAACATAGGATCTATGCTTCTTGCCTCATGGTCACCTCCGCTAAGGCCTGCTGCCCCTAATTGCATACACTGGTTTCTTTCCTCAAGAGAAAAGGAACAAAAACAAGAAGAAAACTCTTTTCACTACACACATAGAATACTTTCGTATTTCTGTAAAACACGGAGAAGCAAAGATAAGAAAAGTAAAACAACCTTCAATCCCATCAGTCCACCCATGCAGCTAATTGTGGTTTCTTGATGGTACTTTTTCCTCTTTGTTCCATGAAAATGAGTAATATGCTCCCAGTAATCATAACATGAGTGGTAAGAGTCGGGCAGGGCAGAGACACAGTTGAGAAATGTAGGGTCAGGAGTCCCACATAAACACTGTCTCTGGGTCCACCATTCTATCCCAGTTCAGAACTTAACCTTTAAATATCAATTTCCTCTCTGGTTATATAGAAACTAGTCCCCAGTCATAGGATTGCTGTGAGGCTCAAACAGGACAACACACATGAAATACTTAGCTTCATGCTTACAAAGTAAGTACGTAATGCACGTTGACGATTACCGTTTGTGGCGCACAATGAAATGTAACATAGTAAACGTACCTAGCACTGGTGTCTCATTCAGTTGCCTTTGATTCAGACAAATAGGACTGCCTTCAAAGCTGATTTTTTGGCCAGCATTCTCTAGGGTCCTTTTCACTTCTTCAGTGGCTGCTTTCAGTGCTTCAGGGCTCCTATCAAATGTTGAGAAAAGAAAAGATGTGCAGAAAATAAATGGTGTCTATACCAAAGGAGCTGCCAACAAATAGGAGTTTTCCCCTTCTTTTAAGGAGGCGGCCAAGACGCCAGAGAAGGTGGGGAAGGGGCATTCGCAGTTACTTGTTACTCCGTTTTGCACTTGTGTTTAAGTCCTTGGATATTCGCAAGAATTGTTGCCTTACAAGGCCTTGCGACATAGAAGTAAAACTTGGGGCATACTTCTATAAATAAATGATTCTAATAAGGAGTACCTGGCCAAGTCAGTCACACACATAGCAATGGAGGAGGAAAATTGCCTCTAAGATAACAATTATAGAGTGCAAATGGAAATCTGAATTTACTCTTAAAATCCATACCACGATTTCAGGTAGAACAATAGCTCTTCCATGCATATTATAAGTTATTGTTCTAGCGTGTTGACTTGTAAAATGAATGGCACTTCATTTCAGTGCATGGACATTTAGTAGATGCCATGACATTTAGTAGAAGGGATCTATAGAACACGATTGCAGTAAATTGAGTCTCATAAGTATATGTGTGGCTATCATAAAATGGCTACTATTACCTTGATGATATTACGTTGATGTTGTAACCTTACGGTAAATATATAAATTTATTCTGGATAGAGCTTTCTCAAGTAAAAACTTTGGAAGCCATTTAACATCTGAGGCAGATTTGTAATGGGGTTCTATGTCTGAAATTGTTTCTAGATATTTTTTATATTAAAGGCATAGCATAGTCAACCATCAGTGGGAATTTGGCTTTCCCAATGGTACAGAATAGTAGTTTTGTATCCATGTGACACGAAACACTCAACTTAACTGGGATAATTCAGTAAACAATTTGAATGGCAAATTTCTAAAAACACTTGGGAAGAAAATCACGTTATGTAAAGTGTATATTACATACAGTGTTTTCGTTATGTACATTTAAAAGGCAAAATCTAGCTAAATCCCATCAATAACGATTAATAATAATATGACTGATCCACAGCTATCATAGTTGATGAGATAAACTCTAAGAAGTAATAATGGAGCGAAAAAAACCAAACTATTGATGCACAAATGAATAAGGCATAGGTACTGCCCTCTTACTGTCCAGAAGTCAGAAGCGCTTAAATATATTTTTGTGACTATGAAGACAGAATTCATCAACTTAAGGAGGCATCATGAGGAACAGCTTGAGGTTGAAAGCCAGGGCTCTGGGCCCAGGCGGCCTGAACTGACCCTACATAGTGTGTTATTTTACCCTAGGAAGGTCTCCGCTTCTACAAGATGCATTTACCAGTCACATTTGCTTATGTTTTTATGTGGATTGGATGAGCTGATACCTGTTAAGCACTTATAACGTAAATGTCACACTCTTGATTGACAGCATGACAAAGTACGATGACTTTTTTTTTAAGTGAAGATAGTAGATTTTCTTCTCTCTATTCAACGTTTATTTATTTTTGGGACAGAGAGAGACAGAGCATGAACGGGCGAGGGGCAGAGAGAGAGGGAGACACAGAATCGGAAACAGGCTCCAGGCTCTGAGCCATCAGCCCAGAGCCCGACGCGGGGCTCGAACTCACGGACCGCGAGATCGTGACCTGGCTGAAGTCGGTCGCTTAACCGACTGCGCCACCCAGGCGCCCCTTCTTCTCTCTATTCAAATAAAGAAACCAACGGATACGTGGCTCGTTACCTAATCATTTGAAATAAGCTCCAGAAAGTCGCCGGAATGGTGTTTGCTTGTGATGCCCAGAGGACAGCGAGGTGTGTCTTGGCCTTCTCCATGTCATCTAAGGTGTAAAGCATATCATTCAGAAACCTGACCAGTTCTGAGATGTGGTCTCTCTTTCCGAGGTTCTCGTGTCGCAAGCCCTCTGCCAGTTTTTCCCGAGCATGGTGCGCGGTCTTGAACACATGAATGGGGAGGCCTGCTACCAGAGCCGGAAAGATTTTGTCAAACTGCTTGAAGTGGTCAAGGTTATTTAGAATAAGTGCTTTTTGTGCATCTTGCCCTGTAAGATCTTTGCCAAAGAGGGTTAAATACCCAGCTTCAAACATCACTCGGTAGCAGAAGGAATACATCCCTTCTGTCACCCAGGCAGGCGTGTTTGACTTAGCTACCAGTGGACGTCTCATGACAAGTTGGAGGTTCTCCATCATGGCTTCTGTGAGGGAATTCAAGGCATCGCCCTGCAGGGTTTTGATGAAAGTTTTGTTTATGTTTTCAGTGGTATTTCCGTCACTTGGGTCAATGCTTCTGTGCCCAAATACCTGACGATAGATGAAATGTGTGAGAAAAGAGATTAAACCTGATGCAGTGCTAGAAAGTGGCTGAAAAACAGATGAGATACTTTCATAATCTTCTACTTGTTAAAAAAAAAAAAGGGAAGGAGGGAAATTGGCCTTTCCACATACAGAGAACTTTTCAAAGACATGGCTTCCTGAAAAGCCAAGTTGAAATTCCAGTTCTTCGGTGGAATATCCCTCAACCCACACAAGTTGCCTATTTCTTACTTTTCTTATGCTACTGCATCTATTGTAAGGTTAATTTGGTACTAATCTATATTTGTCTTAGTCATCAGTTCTCTTCTATATTTTTTGTAGATGTACTTTACCAGACTTTAATCTGCTTAGAGCAGAGACTGTGTCTGATACTTCCTTGCGGAGGCTCACTAAATATTGGCTAACTCCTTTCTCTATTAAGGAGCCTCTTAGATTATAGCTAAGCGATACCAAAATATCTGATCAGTTGCTTAACAAAATTGAACAACCGGTGTGGCATAGAGTGTGGCAAAACAGTTGTTCAGGGGTAAGTTCCCACCACATGTGCTCTGGGAGTCATGTAGACATCGTTGACAAGAGTGAGTTTGTACCTGTCTTACTGATACAGTGCCATGTGGCTCAGCAAAATATTCCATTTTTCTCTCAGTCTAGGTAGTTAAGAAATGACAAATCTATACCTATTTTGACTTTGGAAATGACTAGTACCAAGAGGTTATATCTAATTGGATCTATTATATTTCTAAGAATCTCCGTGTAAGGGTAACCCTCTTCGCCACCTCTATTTTTTAAGTCTAAGTACATCAAAATGCTAAGTAAACTGACATGTTCAGAAGTAGAAAACAAAGAAGCAGAATGCTATACACACGGGAAACGGGTTACCTTTGCAGAAGTAGTGAAGTGGAACTTTTTCCAATCCAAGTATTTTCCATGGCACAACACTTTCTGATATGACAAGGGATTCGTGAGAAAGTGGACATAGTTTCCCATCAATCGGCAGGTGAAAACAGGACCATGTTTCTTTTGAATTGCTCTCAGGAACTCAAGAGGATTCGCCCCAAATTGCAGAGCACATCCCAGGTACGGAATCAACCCATTCTCCAGAGGTGGTTCACCCATCTGTCTGTAAGACACAAATACATGATAGATATGAGAAATTACACATTGTTTTTTATTTACACCTGGTTTTTAAACTTTTACTACTGACTGTCAGCTTCAAAGCTCTCTACAGTTCTAGATAGTTTTTTTGTCCCTGGGGCCCTCATCTTTTGCTAAAATAATGGGTTGTATTAACTTAGTAACATGAAAATGATTGCTGTATCCATCCATCCATCCATCCATCCATGCATTCCACAAAACTTATTGTCTACTAAATGATAGTCATTTTTCCCAGTGATGAGGATAAAAGAATCAACAAGGCCAACAAGATTCTTGCTCTCAGTACAGATGAAACTACCTACATTCTAGTGTTTATATTTTTTCTAAGCATCATTGGCCTGAGTATCTCAGAATGTTTTCTTTTATTGTTACCCTTAAAGATATAGAATACTGAATTGCAGAGAAGATGGCAAAATTGAAGTGTTCAGAATCTTCATAACTTAAAGATATCATTCTATAGTGATATTTGACAATAAGAATCTCATTAAAAAAAATTAGGTTATTATAAGATGAAATTATGTAAGTGTTGACAGGATCATCAATTGTGATTCAACACTCATGCTATTTTTTTGCATCTTTTTTCAAATATAGTTGACACACAGTCTTTTTTTTTTTTTTTTAATAGAGAGTGTAAGTGAGGGAGGGGCAGAGGGAGAGAGAGAAAGAATCCCAAGCAGGCCCCGTGCCCAGCACAGAGCCCAATGCAGGGCTCAATCTCACAACCATAAAATCACGACCTGAGCTGAAACCAAGAGTCAGATGCTTCACCAGCTGAGCCACCCAGGTGGCCCAACACAGTCTTTCACGCTATTTTAAATGTTTTTATTAAATAATATCAACATTAATTTCCCAACATAAACTCCTATCCCTCTTGACAGAATTACTTAGCATAAAATAATTATTTTCATTGTAGTTCAAAGATAAGTAAGGTTCACTAAAACTAGAAATTATCAGGCCTGAATTAAAATACCGTAAAGCACACACACCAAAAAACTTATAAAAGATGGACAACACATAGCAATCTACATAGCCAAAGACATGTTTTGGGTAATTCCGTCTTTTGGAGATTGATATAACAGAATACTTACATACCCCTCCCCCAAATGCTCTTTGAGCCAATCAGAAGGTAAAGAAATATGGCTATGTATGTGACTCTATTTGTACTTCTTATATGCTTGAACCAATTATAAACGACACACAAATAAAAGTGATAGTATATATATGTAGCAGTTTCCCAATGTCGCATGGTTGATTATCATTAATGAGAAGAAAGTGACAGAATAATCAATGCAGGCTCTGTGCTCTTGTCCAAACCTAGGCTGAGTCCATACGATGCACAAGAACTAACAGAGCATCTTTTTAATCCTCATATTAGAAAGAAACCCTTCCCACTGCAGACCCCACTTACCATTTGTATCCTTACTAATCCAGACTTCATCTTTACAGACACACATAAACATGCAAAGAGACCTTATAAAGTTTGGCGGGTATGTTTAACAAGTTTGTACATTTTTGCATGACCATGGATATGTCAAAACTAAAAGGGAAACCCTGTCATTCTATCTTTTGTTAGATATAAGGTCTCACTTTAAAAATTTTTATTAATTTAAAATTTTTAAGTTTTTTAATTAAAGAAGAAAATGCTAATGTGTATAAGTGCAGAACACCAAATTTATTATATAACAATGAAGGTAAAAGACTATTAAATGAATGAACTAAAATGCAATTTAAAGATAAAACCTTCCTTACCTTCTCCTCATTCCAAGAATAAGCCACAAACAACAGCACACTGCTACCACAATCCCCCAGATCAAAGATACGGTCATCATTTTACAAATCTAGTGCAAACTCTAATCCGACTCTCTGATTAGAAAGGTAAGGATGTCACCAAACAGAGACTCTAGCTAGACTTTTATATAAGGTAGGATCCTCCACTTGAGTGACCAAAGCAAACAATTAACCATTTGTTCATCTTATTAGAAAAAAAAAAAAAAAAAAAAAAAAAAAAAAAAAAAAAAAACAACTGGCCTTGAACTAAGTCCACAGGTATCAGAAGAGGTTCCAAAACAATCAGAGACCTGGAATACTTGATAAGTTGAAGGTCTCTCAAACATACACTGACTTAACATTCAGACCTGGCAACAACAGCTAATATTGCAAGTTTAGTATGCTTATAAAGAGAACAAAACATAAACGTGTTCAGGATATCAAATAGCAATGTAAAATGTAATAATATAAAGAAAAATAAAACATACATTATCATCAAGCTAATGAGTAGATCTTGTTACCTTTTGAAGAAGAAATCAATTTAAATCATTTGCAAGAGATAATCGTGGTCAAGTTCAAAGGAAAGAGAACTGGGTGAAATGTTTCTACTGCTTCACGTTTCAGCGCGTTCACAAAATCATAAATATTTTGCTATATATAGTAACACATTACTTACCTAACATTCTCAAGCAGGTATCCCACATAAGTCCACCTGCCACTTAAACAGTTTATTTTAAGCACCAAAATTTTATCAACCATTTTTGCTCATTGAAAATACATTGTTACTTTTTCTAGTTGTTAAAGTAATGCAATTTCATTTCAAATAATTTAAGACTAACTGAAACCTATCTTGGTAGAAAGTGAAAGTCAATTTATAACTAACCTTCCCTACTACTGCCCACTCAGAGCTAACAACCGTTAACTTGTATGGTATGTATCCTTCTAAATTTTATTCCAACACACATATATATTACTTGAGCACCTACTCTGTGCCAAGAATTCTTCAAAAGTATTCTGGTTATAGGTGTTAACAAGATAGACAGATTGCCTAATCTAATGGAGACTCTCTTTCAGTAGAGAGACAGCTATTAAAATATAAGTGTTATGAATAAAATAAAACACGGTGTAGAGAGTATCGGGGATGAGAGCAACTTTAGACATGGCGTTCAGGGAAGGGCTGTCCGAGGAGGTGACATTTAAGATCTGAATGACAAGAAGTGATTAGTCAAGTGAGAATCAGAAGGAAGAGACTTTTAATTTTTTTTAATTTTTTTAATGTTTATTTTTGAGAGACAGAGAGAGACAGAGTGCGAGTGGGGGAGGGGCAGAGTGAGAGGAAGACACAGAATTCCAAGCAGGCTCCAGGCTCCGAGTTGTCAGCACAGAGCCCGATGCGGGGCTCAAACCCACGAACTGTAAGATCATGACCTGAGCCAAAGTTGATGCTTAACCAACTGAGCCACCCGGGCGCACCACAAGGAAAAGAATTTCAGGAAGAGGGAACACCACATGAAAGGTCCTGAGTCAAGGATGAACTTGGTATGTCTAAGAACCAGAAACAAACAGAGGCAATAAGAGGAAACGTGGTTAAGATACAAAGAGCTTGGTGTAGACACGAGCTAGTTCGTATACAGCAATGCTTTAGAGTAGAGAGAGACGGATTTTGGAGGGCAACGGGTCAAAATACAATCTTTAGTTCTGTAGATTGCTATGTGTTGCCAAGTTGACAACTGAACTTGAAAGAGTCTGAAGCTAGGAAGAAAAACCAAGTTGGGAATAGAAACCTCAAGCCTTCAGCATTTGGGTGGTACTTAAAGCCAAAAGACCTTACAAGATCACCAAGGGAGACCATAAAGGCCAGGAAAAGAACAGAGCCCAACACCAGGCCACAAAACACTCCACTTACTGAGGTCAAGAGCAGGCGAAGAGAGGGGTAAGGAAGAACCAGGAAGAAAATCAAGAGAATGTGGTGTCACAGGAAGCAAAAGGAGAATGCATTTGAAGAGAGATCAGTGATTAACTATCACATACTACCTGGAGGTTGAAAAAAATGACCAACACTGGATTTGACAACATGGAAATGGTTGGTGAATCACATATAAACACACAGGGATGGGTTGTATGGAATGTCACGGCAGGATATCACAGAGAAAACACCAACCTAATATCTGAACAATTAAGCCCTTTAGAATTGCCCCTCAAACAAATGAAAACAAGCAAAATACCTAAAGGAGAGGGGGCATGGGACCTCTTACTATCATCTCGCAACTTCCTGTCGATCTATGATTATGTCAAAATTAAAGATTTTCAAATGGTGAAGGGGAAATACATTCACAACCCCAGGCAAACTTTCTGAAGTTTTGTCCTTCCTACTGCCTCTTATAATCCTACCAGCTCCTTTCAAATACAGCCTGGTTAGTATTTATCTCCGTTTTCCTTACCCTGATCTATTCTTTTTACTCCTTTACTTGCTATCCCTCTTCTCTACAACAACAGCCCCGGACACACACACACACACACACACACACACACACACACAGTTTCCTTCAGTTGGCTGAGGGAAAGCAATGGCTTGAATACAAATATTCATATTTTTTCATGTTATATACGGCTTATGTGTTCCTTCTGAGGCTATCACTTCCTGCTGCTGTCATATGTCCACAAATAGCCTCCATCACACCCCTAACATCCTGCTTCTAATCCAATGAGTGGGAATTAGATGCTTGTTACAGTTGTCAAAACAATCAGTAAACTTCATGGAAATCCCTACAAGCTCTCCTGATGCCTAAGGGTGTAAAAATTTCATGCATGAATTTTAGGACATCTCAGTGTGTTCAGCATGGTGCTCAGAGCATCAGGCATTAAGTAAATGCTAGCTGAGTTGGAAAGCCCTTTGCTTGCTTTTTGATTCTCTGCTATGTTTCAAAATGTGAAACTTCTCTTTGTCGTCTTTGCCTCCCTGCTCTCTCTGGTTCCACACTCACACACTCATGCTCGTTCACACACACACACACACACACACACACACACACACACACACACTCATACACACCACACTGAGCCCCTACAACTCGTGTCAGGCACTACATCAACACTGGGGACACAGTGCTTTGTTAGGCAGCTGTGAGCCCTGACCCTGTGGGGCTTCTGCTGCAGTGGGGGGACGATTAAGTGCCCTGATGCCCAAAGAAGGATACTCTAGTTGCCAGAAGGCCAGGCGTGATAAACCGAGTTTATCTAAACTCTCTAATCCCTCCATTGCCTGTCAATTTCCTCTTTCTTTGTAGAGACTAGCAGAGAGCATATGCTGCTGTGCAGAGGAAGAACCTTGTTCTGAGCCTCAAAGAATATAAGGCCTGAGTCGATACCCCATGGCCACAAACAGACGTATACAAAACAAGGAAACTCAGACGAGAGGAACAGAAAGTAAAAAGGACAACTACAGCTATCAACTTATGTCAGCTAATGACACATGTCAGTAGTTTCTATTAAGAAATGCAGAGCCTAGGGGCGCCTGGGTGGCACAGTCGGTTAAGCGTCCGACTTCAGCCAGGTCACAATCTCGCGGTCCGTGAGTTCGAGCCCCGCGTCGGGCTCTGGGCTGATGGCTCAGAGCCTGGAGCCTGTTTCCGATTCTGTGTCTCCCTCTCTCTCTGCCCCTCCCCCGCTCATGCTCTGTCTCTCTCTGTCCCAAAAATAAATAAACGTTGAAAAAAAAATTTTTAAAAAGAAATGCAGAGCCTAAATGCCCATCAACTATTGAGTGGATAAGGAAATTGTGGTTTATATACACAATGGAATACTA